AAGATGCATATTCATTTTTTTTTTTTATATCCAAACCAGAGACCAATATTAGAGACACATTACCTTGCAAATATAAAGATTTTACTGATTTTATGTGCAATTCAGTTTTTGTAATTTTTCCAGTCCTCAGTCAGAAAGCAGATAAAGTTAATATCTGATATTTAGCATTCTCATTAAAGTGAAAAATTCAAAGGTTACTTAAATTGGAAGTCATTAAATATTGCAAAAATATTCTATGAAAATCAAACTTTAATATTGTTATACAAGAAGTGTATGACAACATTAAAGTCCAATTCTTATAAAAGAACAGTTGGCACCCATGACAAATGCAGAAGACAAATCTAATATTGACAGTACAGTGCATCAAAATTTATTAATATTTCCTACAGGATGAAAAAAAAGATAAATAAACTGTTCACTTAAATCAAACTGAAAAAAAATAAATAAAAGTAAATAGATATTTTACATATAAAAAGAGAAAATTACATAAAATAGTTTCTATGTAATTTTTAAATATAAACTCTTTGAAAAAGAGAATTATGAAAGCTGATGATTGTTTATTATATTGATCTATACAGGTCTCATCAGGCATAATTTTGAGACAAATGCAATCTTCATTTCATATACTAAATTTCAGATGAAAATCTAAAAACTTCATTTGCTCTTTAAAATTATACACTAACTAGGAATAATTTATGAGTGACAAAACCATAATTAGATTTTCATTTGACTAATAAAATTATTTGATTAAAAGGGATAGAAAATATGATTCAATATTTAAAAAAAAAAAAAAAAATAAAATAAATATTACACACCCTTGTACTTGACAAAGCTTTATTTAGGACAATTTGTGACACCATATTAATATAATTTTGACTTAGACAAGTTTCTGAATAGACTATTGCATTATTAGAGTGTTTTAAGCACTTGTGCAGCCTAGATTTAAGCCAAAATGTCAGTGAGCATAATTCCCCATACCCCATCAAAGCAGAGGCAAAATGAGAGAAAGAGAGAGAGAGAGAAACCTCAAATATTTTTTAATTATCCCAAGAATGATATATAAAACCCACAATAGAGTGCTGTGCAGTGCCCTTTTATATGATACCATGTTTTTGTTACTGAAAGAGAAATGATTACCAGAAAACCATCTTCAGCCACTGAGCAAACTGGAATTGGACCCTGGAAGACATGGTGAAGGACTTTAAGCAAGTTATTTTCTCATAGTTTGTGTGACAGGAAATAATTAGAAATATCATGCCATGCACATATTTATAATTTCCTGATGTGCCCTGAATCCTTTTGAATAAGAATTTACTTATTGAGCATATCCTGAGTGTCAAAGCAAGCAGCAACAACCAAAGATACTAAAATATTACTGAAGACACATAGAACCAATTACCAACAAACAAGGGACTTAAAATAAAATGTGCTTTTTTCTAAGTTAATACTGTAAATTATATATATATATATATATATATATATATATATATAGCACTAACACAAAGATGTAAAAGAAATGTAATAAGTGTTGATAAGAATGTATTGAAATAGTCATAATATAGAAGAAAAGGTGATATTTTCTTTGATGCATTTCAGATAGGACAAATATTCTTAAGAACGAATATTAATAAATATCTGAAAAGGTTATCTATTTAGCAAAAGGAACTCCTTTTTCAACAGTATATTCTCTGTAGCTATTAAAAAATGATAAACTGTTCAATTAGAAATTAATGAGTAGCCATTCAAAAATTGTAAATGCAAATCAGATAAAAATAATAAAATGATTAGTGCTAAGAATTCCTATTGCAGGGATGCAAAAGGTGATTATTTCCTTTTTATAGGGTGAATTTATGAGGATCATGTGACAGACTGATGGCCCTAGGGTTGCTGGCACCCTAGACAAGCTGAACTTTGGCACCCTCACAAGTATAATTTTTTCAAATTTTCACAAGAAGGAAAACTGAAAATGCAGAATAATGAGTTTGTTACAATATACAACTTAATACAAGCTAAAGGAAACATCCATTATCCTGCCTAAAACATTTTTCCAGCCTTTAGATCTGCAAATCTTTTTCATGGCATTTTCTACACCCATCTTCTTTACAAGATCATTTTGTATTGACAAAATAGCCAAAGAATTTAATCTGTCTTGAGTCATGGATGACTTTACATATATTTTTATAAGCTTTAGTTTTGGAAGATCCCAAACATATGACATGGTAGCATGATGGTGCCCTCAGCCTTGATGGTGTCCTAGGTGACTGCCTGAGTTGACAGTACCATGAGCTGACCCTGGTCATGATAGCCAGTTGCTGTGTTGACTGCAAAGAAGATAGATAAATATGATAGCCCACAGTGATGAGGAGAAAGAATGGAAACCATGTGGTCTAAACAAGGAACATAGAAAAAAAAACAACAATTGGGCTAGCTGTTTTCCTTTGAGAAATATTACAAGAAAGACCCTCTCAATTTTCACCCTTTCACCCTGTTTGTTGTATTCATATGTGCTATAATGTCAAATAGTGGCAGGTATATACATATTTCTTGTATGACATCTGTAGGTATTTATCCTGTCTCTCCAATGAGAATGATGTGACAAGTTCCAGTTTAATGTGGGGAACCCAAGTGCATACACCCAGGCCAGGGCCCAAAATTGCACAAATCCTACAACTGTTGGTTGCACTGGCATTGGTATGACTCTCTACATATACATATTTCTTATATGACATCTGTATATAAAATCTTGTGCACAATGCATATTTAGCATTCATTTCTTTAAGCTATTCTGGTCCTTCCTTCTGGTGTTAGTACATCATTGATATACAAATGATGAATATGAGTATTGGAGTGCAGAGATAGTTATTCTCTTTATAATATAATGAAATAATGGCAAGTAAAAATATCTTGAGTTTTGCTACAAAGAGGGTTCTTGTAGAAACTTGTGTTGTCAGTGTTAATGTAAATTTTTTTGTGTATCATATATATTAATTGAAGATTACGGCCAATATGTATGTACAGAGAGAGAAGAGGGGTGATGGTAGTAATAGAAATTAAATAAGTGATAACTTCTAAATATAAAAATAAGAAATTCTGATTAAAAAAAATAAAAATACAGCACTTATTTTTTGTTCCCCTCAAAATAGTAACAAGTGGAGATAATTGTTTGCTTACATAAAATCCAAAATGAACATGTGAATTTTTCGTGTTTATTTCAACTGAGGTTTATTTTATACAATTATGAAATTAAAACATTATCTATATTAGGCATCCATATTAATTTATATGAAAGATGTATAACCATCAGTTTTGATTTTATGAAAAATGCTATTAAATATTTTCAAATAAATTCTTAATGTATTTGTTATAACCATACTCAGTTATTTAATAAAATATGGGTAAATGAATGATAAAATGAAAAAAAAAAAACAAACTATGAGTATCATTCCTAGAAGGGACTTCTTCAGATTAATAATGGTTTCATTGATGGAGTCAGTCTTATATAAGATCCTGGAGGTGGGGAAGCAATAAAAAAGTACACTAAGATTTTTTGTGATATTGTAAATGTTCATATGAAGTGTAGTTTCAATAATGAAGTATAATTAAAAATGATTTTTTTTTATATAAGTAAAGAGATGTTTACATCTCAGTTTATTGAAAATATTTGAAGAACAAACAGTCAACTCATAAAATGAACTTTAAAATAAGAGAAAACATTTCACCAATTATAAAACTAGAAGAATCTTGGCAAATCATCAAAAAATGTTTTTATGCAGGAAAAAATTTCTAAGAAAGCATTGTTAGTGAACTGATAAGCAAAAGTGAAATGTGCTGTTAGGCAAGAGTAGTGCATATTGCTAAACAAAGACAATGATAATAATGAGAAAATATAAAACGATATATTAGGTGGGTAAGAAAGTACTCAAACATTAGAGAAAGTTTTTAAATTTATAAATGTATGCTGTTTGCAAACATTTTAAATTCAAGATTCCAAAGTAGAGTCACAATCAGTTGAATCAATGCACCAAATAACCTGGTGTTTAGTGAAAGGAATTTTACTGTATAACAACTTATGAATTGGATTCCAGTATGGTGAATTCAAGACATTGCCAATTGCAATTAGATAGCTTAGGACAAAGTCTTTAAATTCAGAAATTAACGATAGCTTAAATCAACATTTGGTCAGATGCAGCTGATTCCTTTATAAGACATACATGCTGAGATACCATCATTACAGATAATCAAAAATAGTGCCTCCATGTCTACATGATATACAAATAAAGCAAGTGTTGTTACTCTATAGCAAAGTTTAAATAAAAAAAGTTGGTGGTAAGATTTGTAAGTCGCTGTTTAATGGGAATAGCTCAATCCAAGCAAAACTGTTACTATTGAATCATACTGTATACTGATGCAAAATGCAACTAATTGAATTGCTGAAAAAAAAACAAAAAACAAAAAAAAAAAAACAAAGAATTGCACAAAATCCTTCTGTTGTATAGACAAATTGTGAAGAATGTAGCAATGATATTGGAAATGTTTCTTGTAGGAGCCATACAATTGCTTAGCTTTCCAATTACTTCTTTAATTGCTCTTTGCAGAACTTCCCAAACAAAGTTTCCAAAATGAAAACAAAATGGCATTTCAAATCTTTAAGCCAGCATTATTCTATTGTAAAGGAATATACTTGATCAAAAATTGGCAAAAAGTGATAAATAACAGTAGTGATTATGTAGAATGATCTTTTATTTTTTAGAAAAACTCAGAGTGCACAGATTGTTTATAAATTCTTACCATCCCAATAATTAGTTCCATATAAATTATATTTTTTAAGTTTGATATAATGTCTCCAAATACATCAAATAAGTAATACCAATTCAACAATATAATCAGACATTATAATGCTCTTAGAAATACAAGTTAAGAGTAACAATTGACAACTATATCAAGTACAGCATAATGCAAATTATGTAAATAGAAGATAACAGTAAATAAAAGATACATACATGTGTACTACTGATTCCTTCCAGTAACAATTTGGTAATCTCGGCTTGACGGTCAAATTCAGACTGTGCAACTCGCAGGTCTGCTTCTGCCTACAAAACAGAAGAAAGCAATAATAAAACAGAATCAAAAGAAACAATAAAAAAATTACAGTAGGCAATTGGAATGGGATTGAAGATAGATTTTATGATTACACAAAATGGGTATTAGCAAACTTCACTTTTTTAGAAAACTCCTTTTCCAGTCTATTTGTAAGTTTGCTAAAATAAAAAGATTGTTGAATTATAAATTCTTCATAATGGTTAATCACAAAGACCTAAAACAATGAAATATTTTTAAAAATGTTATTTTCCTTCAAAACTGCCAGTTTATTTTGAAGGTTACCTTTTTGTCTTTTCCTTTGTCTGATGAAAATAGAAATATCACAAGTTTTATATTTTAGAAAATACAAAAATAAAAACAGGCAAGAAAGTAAAAAAGGAAAAAGATCATTTTTGTTGAAAATTTCTAAAAAAGCCGGATTATAAGCTTATACTTGTTAATTATTCTACTCAAATTGATTAAAACTTTTAAAACTGAGCTTAAAATGAAGAATTTGCATCTGTGTAGAATGGCACAACCAAAGAGGCAAGAGTAATTTGGGAAAATATTTTGCTTATTAAATGATTCTGTATTATTTTAGGTCTGCTGCATATTAATTACTATCAGTTTCTTTAAGATATTTTGTAGGGGTTTGTTCCATCAAAAATGGGACAGTTTTCATTAGAATCATTTTAATGAAAATAAACAAATTTCTTGCATAAACTTAACATTTAAAAATGCCTGTTTCAATTATTAAAAAAAAAAAAAAAAAAAAAAAAATAATGAAAATTTTTGTTTTTATCAAGTTTTCTTGTATGGGTTTTCCTTCTTTTAGAAAAAACTAAAAATTTTCAAATTAAATAGAAATTAAATACTCTATTCTGAAAGATCTGTTTCGAGAGTTTTTTGATGTACATTCCTGAGAACTTAGAATTAAATTGTTAATCAAGTGTAATAAGTGAGTCATTTCCAAAAATTCATTGAGATACAATAAAACTATTAACATACAGGTTTTCTTAAATCTATACTTTATTTTGATTGTTTTTTTTTTTCTGTATTGTTGGTGGTGATCATGTTTTTTTTTGTAATAAGTGATGTTTTAATTTGTTTTTGAACAATCATAAGCTAATACATATCACTTAAATGATATGTATTAGTTTATTATTTTGCTAATACATATCACTTAAATGATATGTATTAGTTTATTATTATTTTTGTCTAGTTGTTACTGTGTAGTTGGTTTCTATAGTTTAATGATATTTTTTGTTTTATTACATTATTGTTATATTGTTTTTATTTTTTCTAAAGTTAGTTTAATTTGTTTATCAATTATGTGATTAGGGAAATGATGAATTCATGTTTTATATTTGTTAGTTTGTTATAAAATATGTTCATAGAGGATATTAAATCTGCTTTATTTATTAAATTATTTATTATGATTATTTTGTATATGTATGGGCATTCACTTTTGTAGTTAAGTAGGCAAGGTTTGAATTGTATTTTTTTTAATTTATAGAGGAGACTTTAAAGTTTTAATTATTCAAATCAATACGTACAACTAAAATGAATTCTATCATTTATGCAGAGTTCATATGTGAAATTAAGAACAGAGTTATTTTTGAAAAGTTTTCTCAAATATGTGTCTTCATCCATATCTTTAGTTAATATGAATATATCATTGATGCAGCAAGTGTAGATTGTTGGCTTAGGGCATTTTTAAAAACTTCATTTTCACCTACTTTTTGTGTTTTTCATGTTGAGGATTTTTTTTTTCTTTTAATCATTTCACCCCAAGCAAGGTGATAAAGCCAATAAGTCAGGCTCAATAATATTATAGATTCTTTGGATATTGTCAAGACAGATAGCATAAACACTGGATTAGATGTGACAGCAATATTCAATGCATGGATGAATGATAGACTTATAAAGGTGTAAGACAGATTTTGACGAAAAAAAAAATATCTAGAATGATACAGTGAACCAACTTTCCTAGTAGCAGACTTGCTGTTAATTCAATATAATTGTTCCACTTCATGTCAGTTGAAAACATTATCTTGAGAAGGTGCAATGTGTCATTCTCTTGATGGTTAGCATAAATTTTGCAAGATACATCAGATTTTAAGACATTGATTAAAAAACACTGACACAGAACTGTCTGAGAACTTTTTTTATGTATCTGCAAAATGAAAAGCAAGTTAGGAAATTAGTAACAAACAAGTAGTAATTATTGCTCATTTGATCACATTATTTATATATTAGCCTGTTTGACTAAATTAAATCACTTAGTATCAGAATGACTATAGAACTATATATGACTAAGAGGCAATAGTTACAGGGTACGATGGATAAATTGTTGACTAAATTATGTAAAAATGGAAATAACACTGACATCTCATTTTAGCAGATATATTTACCAAAATTAAACAAAAATATCTTGAAATACTAAAGAGTAAATTTATTCAATAAAATTGCCACTGGCTTCAGCTATGGCCTCCAGACAACTTCAGAATATCCTGCAACTCATCTAAATGATCTTGTTTAAGTTAGTGGATGCTGCCATAATCCATGCCTTCCGTTCATCTTTGGTGTTACGAGGACTTTTTTGGTCTCTCACTTAGCTGTACTCCACACATAATAATCAAGGCAGTTGCAGTTTGGCCAAATGTAAGAGGTGATATGGTTGCAGAAATTGTCTGACAGACATGACTCGGTTCTCCTGCTTGTGTAGCATGGTGCAGAGTCCTGTTGCCAGACATAAGTTCTTCAACAACTACCCTCCTGACCCGAGTAGAATTAACTCCTCAAAGCACTTGATGTAGGCCTCCATGTTGAGTCTGAGGCCCTGTGGGAATATGAATCAAGGCATAATGTTACCATCACTAGTGATCACTCCAAACACTTTTGTAATCACCATTAGAGTCATCCAACTGTTTCAAAATCTTCTGCACTGTCCTCAGATTGATACTCAAACACTGAAATGTTTGTATTGGAGCTTCTGGTGTGAATGCTAAGCAGTACAGCATATCGTTTTCAAATTTCTGGCAGGGCAAATTGCATCATGGTGCTCTTTTTCTTACAGATGGTGCTCAACTAGCCCTACCATACTATACAGTTGACAAAATCCAAAACAATGTGCATGTGTGAAATTAAAAATATAAAATGGCAACAATTTACCCACTGCACCCTATATAATTTAAAATTTGCTATATTTATTGGAGAAGTGCTCATTATCATGATAGTGAGTCCATGTGTATGTGTTAATTATGTTTCATAGACTTTGTTTATTTTTTTATTTTACATCCAAATGTCAGATTTCTTGGTAAACAATATTATGTATTTATCTGTGTATTTAACAGAAAAGCTGAAACATCTTGACAACTGAACATGTCATGGTATTAAAAGCAAATTAAAAATATAAAATGGCGACAATTTACCCATCGCACCCTGTATATAGATATTTTTTAAAAGCAGCAAGTTGTATCATGATGTATACAATATAAATTTACATATAGAAACATATATAGCCAATAATGCATTAGATAATTTAACACTACAAAATGTCCTCAAATCATTTATATTTAAGTGATTTCATAAAGAAATTGAAGAACATTTGTTATATTGATGATTGTTCAAATTTCTATCAAATTTCTATCAAATTTCTATCACAATATTAAAAAAGGGGTAATGTACATTTCTCTTCTTTATAAAGTAATGATGAAGTCTAGAATGTAGACCAAGGTTTTCATTTTTTTCAATCAATACTCGCAAGTTTACTCATATTCAACTGATCAATAGCTTTTTATATCATATTGATCAGCAGAATATATACGTGAAGAACTGAATAATATTTATCTTGTATAATTAAAACCATATGTAGTTTAGTATTTTAAATTAAATTAAGATGGTTAAACTTTATATTTTATGTGCTGTGTCCATTTAGGATGTAGGCAATCATGGCTCTCCACAACATTCTGTCCTTTGTAGCTCTTAGAAATGTTTGCTTTGTCCTTGGCACTCCCTGATCTGCAATCCATTTACATAAGCTTTTTAAGTAGATTACTTGCTGTTTACACTTGTTTCTCTTGCCTTGAATATGTTCCACGAGTGTGGAATTCTCTCAAGCCCTCTTTTCCTCATTATGTGTCCCAGAAATTTCAACTATATATCCTAACTGTAAAAACTTCAGGGTTTGTATGAATTTCAGCAGAACAAAAAAATTATAGAACAGAATTTTATACTTTATATAATAAGCAGATAAAGTGATTCTCAAAACAAGAGGTACTTGGTTTCCAGAGAATTTAAAACTTAAAAACTTTTAGAGGAAGAATTTTAACCATATACATAGGATTTAAATTCTTACAAGAATTGAAATTAATTGAAATTCTTCATAAGTATAATGACAAAAATTTTTTACTAGAAGCCAATTCAAAATAGGGAAGGAATTGAGGAGATTTAGGATTTATAGAGATCATTGGAATGTGTTATCCATTGTGTTTATAATAACTTGGATTATAAACCCTTTCATGTCTACAAACTCTTCATTATTCATTATATAAATTATCTCTATATTTTGGTTCTGCTTGTAAAAATGTAGTCAAGTCAAATGTTCAAATTCTTACTAGCATTTCCACAAATAGTAAAATTATAAGGGAAAATGCAAGAGAAGAAATATATCTAATAAATAAACTATAATTTTAAAATAATTGAAAAATGTTTTTCCAATGGTCTTTAACTTTCCAAATGAAAAGATAAGTTTTGAGTGCAAAATTAATATTGCATAATTATGCAAGAGATAATTAGAATTTTAACATTCTCTGAACTGATGATATACAGCAGAAAGTTATACATCCATATTGAACATATGATCTTTGTTTAGAAAACAAATTCATAATTTTTACTCTTGAAAAATCTGTTTCTAGTCTGCTTTATAAAGATAATGAATATAAATGAAAATAAAAGTAATTTTTAGATATTGAAGAGTAACTCATTTGTGATAAAACTACCAGTTTTT